GGGATGAAGGTCTAGGAGTGCCAAGGCTAGGCACCCAAGGAGGTCGACCACCCCTCCTCAAAGAGTACGTTAAGCTTCTGGTGGTCTGCCTGAAGATGACATCAGTTCTCCCAAAAATCTTACAGGCGAAAATGACGGGCATGTCCCTAACGTAAGCCTGCCMAGCGTAGGCAAGGCTAAGCCTGTGCTGAACCGTAACACTACGGAGGTTAACAGTTCTACCGCAAGCATAGCGCAGTTAATAACCTGGCCTTGGCATCATTGTGTATCTTGATCGCACAGGCGAGGCTCAACTAAGTGCTTACCGACTAGACTGGGTACTTCGCCAGTTTATGATGATATGGGCACCTAATTTTTACAGTCTTCGGGAAGCGATGTTTTCTGGGTTTGGTGCCATGAACATGTCTTCCCCGAGGCTTCAAGGTTCCCTATTGCAGGGTATTCACACGTGCAGGGTTGCAAGTCCCTCCATTTCACGTATCTGTGCGCGTTGTTCAGGGGGTTTTCAGGAATTGATAAGGGCGAACTGCTGCCCCTTCATGTCTCGACTCCCCCTGAAGGTCATGCTGCCAACCAAGGTGGGAGTCCAGTTGCTCCTCAACTGCGCTCGCCGAAGAAGGTGAAGACAAAGCGTGAGGGAAAGCGCCTCATTCCAGCAAAGGGAGAAAGTAGCCATCCACCTCCAACGAAGAGGCCGAGGGTGCCTCGTCCAATGCAGCCACCGGTTTTTCAACAACCCTCCGGCAGACGTGGCTTCATCGCAAGCACAGGAGCGCCGAAATAAGGTCAGGCAAGATCCTCCCGCTTCGACGCCCCAAGGGAAGGAGGCGCCAAGCGTAGATTTGGCGTGGTCGTCGATCGTGGTACCCCCCAGTAAGATCACATGTGTCCATTTCTCGAGCGGGCATGTGAAGAAGATGGCTTCCTGCCCTCCGAAGTGGGGTCCTGTGGAAAATGACTTGGTATGTAGTTTATCCTTTAGCCCTCTATTTCACTACCATTTCGTTCGATTTTATTGTAGATGACTGAACCATATTCGATATGTTGTGTTTTCTTGAAGTCTGTTGGGACTGATGGTATTCCACTGAGCCCGGAGATCCCGACAACCCTTGCAGAAAGGGTGGATTTGGTAAGTAAGATTTTCTTGTCGATGTGTTTGTTTTACAGTTGATGCCATTATATTTTGTGACTAACTAATTAGCATATAGTCTTTTATTTTGAAGCGTGTGGATGCAGAGGATGCTCAGCCTGGCGCAGGTGCTTCAGAAGTCCCTGTTGTGGACAACGAGGTATGCGTCAGTTTGTTTTATCGACGTATTGCTATTTCGAGTTTAGGCATGTCGCACTAACTGTTTGTGATTTATTTCATCGCGGGCCCCGTTCCATGTTCATCCTGCCACTGCCGATCTCGCCTATTATTAGGTGGCTAGTGGAGGAGCTGAGATCATCACAGCCCCCTAATCAGGCTCCAGAAGCTACTGAGGTCGCTGAGAATGCTAGCGTACATGATGCCGTGCCGGGTGCCTTGGTGTAGGGGGAGGGAAGCTCCCCAGGGGCAGAGCCAGGCTCAGCGGTTCATCGCGAAGAAGCCTCCACCCCTCCTACCACTGTAGAGGTTGAGGTCCCCACCAACCCAGATATCCAAGCTTAGGTCAGAACTAGGGTTCCTATTGAACCAGAAACACTCGTCGAAGGAGGGGACGAAGCAGCAGAATTGTCGTACGAGGAAGAACTTGCGCAGATTCGGTAAGAGCTCACGGAATACTGCGACAAGAACAACATCCCCTCCCTGGGTTATGAGACCGTAGATCTTGTCCAAGTCCAAGGGTGTCAGGGGAGTGATAAGTACTTCGTCTCTCGTTCGGTGGCGGTGTTCACATTGACTATCATCCCGGCAGGATGGTTATCGTCAGCCAATCTTCATCCAATGGTCATGGGGCCCGCTCTAAATATCATTGTGACTATGATGGATCGCGTAATGAACCATCCAGTTGAAGAGTTTTCGTGGTTGGACTTTGCTCTCTTGCCAGAAGCTTGTAGGTCCTTTTCTGTCATGGGCTTCAACATGGCGCAGATCGAGGAGCGAGTTGTTATGCTGGCCCATGCGTTTTCTTTGAGGCTAACATCGCAAAGGCGACAGGGAACTCAAGGCCCTGATGGACGAGGCTCTAGGCAGAAAAAGATCCTCGCCGAATACGAGGTAGAATTGAAAGACTTGTGAAGCTTCGAAGAGTGTAGCCAGGCACTGGAATGAATACCTTGTATTTATTGTAAAGGATTTGAGAATGATATTAAATAAGATTTGAATTTTGCTTTATGGTGTTGCCTTTGCGCCTTGTTATTAGTTACTAGTGTATGTTGGAGTCAACTGTTTCGAAAGATTTTCTCAGATTCCCCACCACCTACATGAGTTTCAAAAATTTTGGTATATTTTAAAAATTTGAAAAAAAGGGTAAAAGCATCACAAAATTATTTCAGTCTTTTTGTAAAACTCAGTCATGTTTAAGGTAATTTATAAAAACTCATGGTATGTAAAATCTATGATATGGAAAAAGTAACTGGTTTCGTGAATATGGGTTATCGCAAGTAACTGGTTTCAAAACAATAATTAAAATCACATTTGAAAAAAGAAATTCATTTTAAGAAAGACGTTAACTTGTAGAAAAGCACTGACCATCATTTTCCCCGATATCTTCAGCTCAACACCCCTGTTGAATCATCGCTGACAACAATGGTTTCTCTTTGGTGTCACCTCGTCACTCTTGTGCTTCTTCAAGTGATCCTCTTGCTCTCTCACCCTGTCAAATCTGATGGTAAGCATTGTCTCTCTTCCTCTCTTTTCTTAATTGCTCTTGTAGATCTTTTACTTTGATGGGTTTCTCCTGTTTGGTTTTATTTCTCTACCAATTGATATATGTTCATCATTCTTTCATTCTTGCATGATTTGGGTCTTCATTTCAAGTTCCAAGCATATGGGATCTCTTCATCTCCAGTGGTTGCATTGCAAGTCTGAGTTTGCCGATTAATGGGATTTTTCTGGTAGAATAACATTCGTTTGGTTGGGAGGAAGATCCTGATTCCCGGTTCTCCTAAAACGTCATTAGGTGACGATCTGAATGCATTGTGTCTGAAAAGGGACCTGGATAGGGGACAAAAATGCATGTTGCAAATATCCATTTGACTGGGTATCATGTTTTGTAGTGTTACTGATTCTCTCTCTCTCTTTGGTAGTTCAATGATTCAAAGAACTGGTTTTAAGATTTTTTTCGTTTTTCTTGCTGGGTTCTTGTCTATCAGACAAGTACTCTGGGAGGATACAGGAGAAATACATCCATATTATTTGCAAGAGCATGCTCATTACTAGATTCTAGTCTAGGTCTAAATTCTTGTGTTTTAGATCTAGATGTTGGGAAGGAGATAACAAAAGATGGGAACTAACAATGGGTCCTTCAAGGATCTAAGGCTTCACATCACCTTATTAGTTGTCTCAAATACGCTAGTTTTGTCATGAAATAGAATAGGAGAAGGTTCTCTCATGTCTGGAAGTTTATAACAAATTGTTTAATGTGTCATGAATATGATTCCCACGATCTATATCTTAAATTATTGGAAGAAGATAAGAATGTAATGGGGTATTCGGTTAACGGATAAGTTAAAAGACTCTTTTAAATTTTTATTAACATATAAAAAACCAATTACCGGTTACTTAAATAAACCCGGTAACTGCTGTATACGTGGCAGCAGTACAGGTTTTAGATATGATATGGTTTTCCATATCATAGTCGGACACTTAATTCTTTTACCCTAAATACAATGAGTTGCATCAATAAGTACTCAGACAGTTCTTTATTAGACGTACTCTTATTTGAGATGGGATTTGGTCCTCACACCCTTCTCATAAGTCATATCCTTTTGCAGCAGTGTGGAGTAAACTGTAAATCTGAACTGCAGAGATGCAAAAGGGTTTTAGAGACGAAAGGGAGTCCAGATCTGCTCTTAACAGATTGCTCCTTACAATGCTTTTAACCGACCCATCAAGAACTTCTCTTGTAATTTCTGTTGTTATTCATGGGGTTCCCAGTACAGGGTGGGATGGGCTGTGAGGTTGGTGTGGAGTGTACTCTCTAAGGAGCAAATCTCAATTCAACGAAAGAAAGGGGCTCGGATATACTACTCACTATTTGTTTCCACATTTCAACCCACAGAACATAACAGTTGTGCATTGGCAATATATCACTTTTCATTCATAAGGAGATGTTCCCAATACATGATGGCGGTGCTCGTGGGTACAAGTATTGGGCATCAGATCCAGAGGGGAAAGAAAGTTCAGATCTGGTCCCAATGTATGGGATCTGCTCCCAACCCATCCCAATAATCTGTATCTGCACATCTCATTGTGAGACAGTGACCCATCATCATGAGAATTAGGATTTATTTCTCACAGAGCGCACCTCACAGCCACATCCCAACTGGTATTTGAAACAACTCTCAATGAATGATAAATACAAATACGGAAGATATTTCTGATGTGCGTCTAAGACAAGATGTGAGTTCAGTGTGAGGCGCGCGTCGTGAGGAATAGATTTGGACTCTCGTCACGATTCACGACCCCGCATCGTGTATGTGCTGTGCGGAGATAGATGATGTTGGAGCGTATTAAGAGATCCGAGCCCAGTTGCCGGACGTCCGGATCTGGTCCTACGGCTGCGATGGCTGTTGGGATCGTGTGCTGGTAATTTGGTATCAGTCAGATCCAAACTGGCGTGTCTAATTTTAAATTTTAAGAAAAACAAGAAAATTGAAAATATAGATTAGATCCCTACTCACTTTGGATAGACCATCTGCGGTAGAAAACTTTCCAGGGAGTTTGCTCTGCGCGCCACGGCACTAACAAAGATCGAAAGAACTACTACATAATTAAACAGATTACGAAATTGTATAAACTAGAACAGCGCGCGCTTTTCAGGGACAGTACAATCTCTCTCTCTCAAACTAACTCGCGTATCACGCTTTGGCGCTCTCTCGAAGAAGGGAAAAGTTGAGTACGAACTATTTATTATAATAAAAAATGATTTTAACAACACCTCTCTATGCCTCCAACAATGTTCAAATGGTCTTCACTCCCACTGTTTCTCATCCTCCAATCTCTACCTCTGCACTAAAACCTCTTTTATTTCCACTTTCGTTTCACGCTATGGCTACCAAAACGAGGAAGAGAACTAGATCGCATTCCTTTCGGAAATTAAGTATAGTAGCTTCCGCAACTCCAAATGAATCTCCATTTTCTGCACCTGAACAGGATAAGGTATATTATTTATCATCAGCAACTTATTCTTTTTAATAGTCCCTGTATCTCTCTTAGATAAGCTGTTTCATTTATTTTGTAGGATAATGATAATCCATAAGGTTTTACAGTGAAATTTCATGTTTTAGGAATTCCTCGATCAAATTGGAAAATGCTCATTATTTCTCGTTTTGGTCTCTTATCATTTATTTAAATTTTGTGATGTCTTGGATCTTTTCTCTTAGTAATTCAAAGCTCTTCTCTCTCTCTCTCACACACACACACACAGAGCTGGTTTTACTTATTGTTTTCTTGGGGATGGAATTCCTACTGTTTTATTTGTTGTTGGGGTTTCTTATGTTGTTTTGCTAAAATTTGGGACTATCTGATTAATCTGATTTATGTACCTAGTAAAAGATGCCTATTATTGCTCTTCTATTCTATAGACATTTGACAGATCTATAATCTTTTGTATTGTTTTAAAAGTCTTTCTGAATCACCCTTTCAGCTAGTGCTGCATGCCTGCATTATTGGTTCTTTTGGAATTTTCTTCTATTTTTATTTGGCTATCCCTTATGGATCTATACTTGATTAAATTGAAAATTTCCTGTTATTGCTCTTTGGTTCTCTTGACTGAGCTAAGCTCTCTTGAATTTTCACCTTTGTTTTTTTTTTGGATTTTCTGCTGCATTAGGATTTACAAAGAAAGGGACCTGATCTTCCAACACTGTGGAGAAGATTTTGGAAAGTTGCAGCTCCATATTGGTCATCAGATGATAAAGTCCAAGCTAGGCTACAATTGGCTGCTGTTTTTGCTCTCACCCTGGGTACTACAGGAATTAGTGTTGGATTTAGTTTTCTTGGTCGGGATTTCTACAATGCACTTGCAAGTAAGTCTTAATAGTTTATATCTTCTCTTTGTTAGCCTTTTTTATTCAGTATTATCACAATCCACACATAAAAGCTTTATGATAGAAACATTTAGAAGGTTAAGTGTGTTTTCATCAATTAAATTATATTCTGTTTTTCAATCTTGCAAGACAAAGATCAAGAACAATTTACAAAACAACTATTGTACTACCTTGGCGGTTTTGCTGGAGGAATTCCGGTGAGCATATTGCTGCACTTTAGTAGGTATTGCTCTACAATCCATATTGAAGCATTTCCAAATTGACTCCACATATGAGAAGATATAGTTTTTTTAAATAATTTACTTGTCTCTCTAGAACTAAAGGAAAATAAATTGTTTGCTAGTTTAATTTCAGAGAAGAGAGAAAATTTTAGAAGAGAAGCCAAAACTGAGTGTACATTCCTGTCTGCCCATAATAAGAAAAAAATAATATAAAACAAGTAAAAGCTATAACAGCAGCTATAGGCTGTCACTAGGTCAGGCAGACCCAATAAACCAGAACCAAACTTATAGTGTCTGCATTATGCATCCCAAGTATAATTGGGTTGGGATCGGTTTTGGTTGTTCCAAACCAAGTAAGACACAAATAAACTATATATATAATTGTGTATATAATTATACACATACATATTGGCATATTGCAAAGATATCCCCAGTCTAATACTTTTTTTTTTCTATTTTACAATAAAAGATACCTATGTTTCTCATGATATACTTGTAATGTTATTATATTGTGATGTCCAAATATGTGGATTTAACAAATAAGTAGGTTTATTGTCAAATTACAGGTTAAAAGTATAGCTGTCAATTACAATTGAGTCTTATCTGGTCAGACCTGATAGTTCTGATTATAGATCCTATAGGGTCTGGTTTGGAACTGGTTTTGCACATCTACTTATTGGTTGGGTCTGGGTCTAACTGGATTTGGACACAAAATGACCCATTGACATTACTAATCAACTATAAAACAACAATAAAAGTAATAAAATAAATCTGAAACAGGTGGCTGTCACCAGGGTTGGGGGGTTATGGGCTACCACCTGTTGCATAGCTCCACAAAGCCAAAAACAAGAAAAAAAAAGGAAAATGAGAAAAGGAAAGACTATCAACCTTTATGTGTTTGAACCTAGCACGTCGAACCAGGCTGTAAGCAATATTAATGGTGGCATGATTATCACAGTACAACATTAGTGGCTTCTGGAATTCAACTCCCATCTCTCCAAGTAGAGACCAAATCCACAAGATTTTTGACACACCATGTGCCAAGACCTTGTACTTTGCTTCAGCATTGGAGCAGGCAACAACTAAATTTTTTCCTTTTCCAAGAGATCAAATTTCTACCAACAAAAGTGCAATACTCAAATGTAGAACACCTATCATTAAGTGAACAAGCTCCATTTGCATAAGGCCTCCACTTTCATGTGACCATGATTAGCAAAGAAGATACTTTTGCCTGAATGTTTTTTGAAATAGGCTCAAATCCTCTTTGTTGCAGCTAGTTGAGAATTTCTAGGAGCATCTATGGCTAACTACACTCACTGCATTTGGTATATTTGTCCTAGTCATGTCATGTATAGATACCAACTTGCTTATTACTAGTCACTACTATTATTCAGTAGTACCTTATTCAGTCTGATGATTCCTTATTTGGTATATTTGGGACACAAAATTAACAAAGTACCTTATTCAGTCTGATGATTCCTTATTACTAGTCACTACTATTATCATCAACATGAATAGTAAGTGTAGTCAACGGAATACTTTGCCGCTTAATGGATAAGGTGTGATTAGACTGAGATTGAGAATGCCTATCATATATCTTTTTATGTAGATCACCATATTATGGTCAAATCAAATGGGAACAAAGGCCAAGAATAAGATACATCCCTTGGAGAGGTGCAAACTACGACTTCTCTTAACAATGTACACTGTAAATAAGTATCAAATTACACCTGAGCCCAAAACAACTGTTCCCTATTTGCCTCTTGCTTGGCTAGACAATCAGCCAGTGCATTTGCTGATCTCCCCACCCATTGTATTCTTATAGACATATTATGTGTTAGACTGTTAGCCACTTAAATTTCTTGACTTCATTTTTGTAAGACCACGCATGAGTCTCTGGGTCCTTCAACCAGCCCACTACCACCTTGGAATCCCCTTCAATCAAAAGCTGCTCCAGACCTAGTTGATTTGCAAACTGCATTCCTTGTAGGGCAGCTAATAATTCTGCCCTAACAGAGTCCCCAATTCCCAAGGGACCTGAGTAGAAAAGTGCAATCTCTCCAAACTTATTTCCCATCAAAGTTCAGCTTCAAAGAGCCTTTAGGAGGGGGTGCCCAGTTTGCTACCACCCTATTCTTTATGGAAGAACATCTTGCTACTGTTGGTCAATTCCTCCAAATATCATTAAAGGAGAATTGGTGAAATAGATCCAGTCTTTTTTTTATTGGTAACTGAAAATTCATTAAAATTAGAAAGGAATTACAAGAGTACAATAAAACAAAGTTAGAGAGAGATATACCCTCTTCTCTCTCCCTAACCCAACATAACTTCTTTTTACAATTGAGCCCATGACAACTTATCCCTACCCGTCCCTTGTTTAGTAAGAGCATCACCAAAAGAATTCACACTCCTTTTGACCCATTGAACTCTCACTTCTATATTTTGTGTGAACCATTTGAATTAGTAGTCGATCGAGACTACAATCAGTCTTGAATTCAAAAGAAAAAGAATGAAGAAATTTCAGAAGAGAAGGAGAGAAGAGAAGAAGCACACGAGGAGATTTTGGAAAAGAGAGAGGGTTGGTCTTGACATCAGCCGACCCACTCTTAATATTTATATATGTTGACTAATTGTAAAAGGGCTGAATTGCCCTTGTTGCTTACATGGCAAATAAACTAATAATAAAGCTGAAATAACAAATTGAAATAACTACCAACTAACACTAACATAACTAACAGAAATATGCTGCCATACGAACATAGTGGGGACCACATCAGTGTTCTCTACACTCCCCTCAAGTTGGGAATAGATATTTGTCATTCTCAACTTGCATAGGTCTACCTCTAACTTCTTCCTTGGAACAACCTTGGTGAGAAGATCTGCGAGTTGCATGTTGGAAGTGATATACGGGAGACACATTTCTTGAGATGAAACCCTTTCTCTAACAAAATGTCGATCTACTTCAATATGCTTAGTTCTATGATGCTGTACCGGATTATGAGCTATATTAATAGCAGCTTGATTATCACAATACAACATTAAGGGTTTCTCATAAACAATACCAATTCCTCAAATAATGACTTCAGCCATAGGATTTCAGCCACACCATTAGCCATAGATCTATATTCAGCTTTAGCACTAGAACGAGAAACAACACTTTGTTTCTTACTCTTCCAGGAGACAAGTTTACCTCCTACAAAAGCACAATATCCAGAGGTAGACCTTCCATCATCAACACTCCCAGCCCAATCAGCATCTGTATAAACCTCTATCTTCATGTGATCATTATTATTGAATAATTACCTCTATCTGGCACCTCTTCAAGTATGCTAATATCCTCTCAACTGCAAGGAGGTGAGTAGTTCTAGGAGAGTGCATATATTGACTGACAACGTTGACTGCATAACAGATGTCCGATCGTGTGAGACAAAGATAGAGGAGTTTTCCAACTAACTGTTGGAACATAGCTTTATCTTCAAGTGGCTCTCCACCCTCTGCACTGATCTTGTGATTCTGTTCAATCGGTGTATCTGCAGGCTTAACACCTTCTAGTTTTTTTCAATAGATCTAGAACATATTTTCTTTGAGAAACAAAAATCCCATGTTTAGATCTAGTTACCTCAATACCCAAGAAGTATCGTAGCTCTCCCAGATCTTTCACCTCAAACTCTTGATGAAGGAATTGTTTAAGAGACTCAATCTCACTGTTATCATTCCCTGTCACTACAATATCATCCACATATACAGCAAGCAAAGTCAAGGAAGAGTCCACTCTCTTAATGAACAATGTATGGTCTGACTGGCCTGTACATAGCCGAATTTTTCAAGGGCTTGTCTGAATCTATCAAACCAAGCTCTAGGGGACTACTTTAGTCTATACAAGGCTTTATTTAACCGGCAAACCTTATTTCCTGTCTCTGCATCAGAAAATCCAAGAGGTAACTGCATGTAGACTTCTTCCTGTAAGACTCCATTGAGGAGTGGAACAAGGGCCAAGAGTAACTGGCTGCAAGGGATAACAAAACTCTAATAGTGGTCATCTTTGCTATTGGAGCAAATGTCTCGAAGTAGTCTATACCATAAGTCTGAGTAAATCCCTTTGTAATTAACCGGGCCTTATATCTTTCAATGGAACCATCAACATTATGTTTTGTAGTAAATACCCATCTACATCCAACCGGTTTCTTCCCTTTAGGCTGGTCAACTAGCTCCTAAGTATTATTCCTCAGAAGAGCATCCATTTTAACCTTCATCGCATCTTTCCACTCAGGAACTGACAAGGCTTCTTGCACTGTTCTAGGGATAGGAATATTAGCAATGGATGTGAGAAAGGACCTGTAAGAGGGGGACAGGCGACCATAGGACAGGAACTGGGAAATGTAGTGAGCTGTGGATGTGGTGCAACGCCGTTTGCTTTTACGGACTGCAATGGGGAGGTCAAGGTCATCCAAAGGAGGTAAGGGTGCAACAGTGGAAGGTATCTCAGTGGGACCTGGATCTGGATCCGCCGAAGGAACTGGGGCTGGCCTGGAATGCTGATGACCAAAATCAACCTGCCTCCACCGCCTGTGATAGACTCTCAAATCCTGACACCTCTGAAAACCCTCCCCATTACATCCCTCATTACTCAATGGAACAGGTAAATGAACTTCTGATGAATTAACCCCACTCTCACTACTCTCCCCCTGAGGAGAAACCCTAGGATAATAGGATACCTCCTCAAAGAAAGTAACATCCATCGAGACAAATCTCCTCCCAGAAGTAGGTTTATAGCAGCAATAACCCTTTTGAGTTTGTGCATAACCGAGAAAAATACATTTGGTGGCCTTAGGATCAAATTTCGAACGATGAGGTCCAAGAATCTGAACAAAGAAAGTGCAACCAAAGGTTTTAAGGGGAACAATAAACAATTCTTTATCGGTGTATAGAAGGGTAGATGGAGGCTTCATGTCAAGAACTCGTGAAGGAACTCGATT